GAGTCGGCGTTTCTCCGGTGCGCTGGAGCGGTTCGGGCAGCTGCTGCAACCGATGCATCACCTCGACGGGACGTTTCGTGAGTCGCACGCGCCGCTACTGTTAATTGCATCGATTGTTTTCGGGCCGCTGATCGTTTCAACGTTGGCGGATAGTCATTGGATAAGCCAAAGAGGATTAAACATAGGAGAAGTTATACGGCGACAGTGCGCCAGCCCGTGGATTTACGATGCTCCGTGGTGGAAATGAACGCGAGCAACAGTATTTTTAACTGGCCGTTGGTGGAACGACAGCGGAACTTTTATTGAAAACTATTTTTTTCCCTCCCCCCCCCATAATTCTGTAGCTGTTTTAAAAACAAATTTTATAATTAACTTTAATTCTAGTAAAGACAAATTTTAATTGCGTTTTTAAAATTAGCTAACAATGTTTGATAATTAATAATTAAAGAATAATGTGCCATAACACACCGTACTGTGCCGTCCGTGTATTTACGATTTTTCGTGGTGGAAATGAACATTCTGCAACAACAGTTTTTAACTGGTTAATGGAGCAATAGCGAAACTTTTATTAAAAATAATTTTTTCCATAATATTTCATTCTAGTAAAAGGAAAGAAATTTTAATTTGATTTTTAAATTGATTAATTGTTTGATTAATGACTGAAGAATTAGGTACACACATATAATTGTGAGTCTTTAAATGAACTTTAAATTCTTTCTTAGAATATCTCTATAACAATAATAAGTATTTTATACAGTACAACTTGTAAGACAGAATACACAATATTATAAATATAATGTAGGTACAATTATACAATGCACTTTTTATAATGTAATATTAAAGTAATCCAATATTCTTCGTATATATACACAGGCAATTCTATAATAAAACAGTTAGATACTTTTGAATTTATTACATAAACGTTGAAAGGTTTTTCCTTCTAAAAAGTGATCAACATAATTTTCAACTAGATCATTCGTACCTGCTGACTTGCCTTTAAAATTACCGCATTAATGACGGCTCGATCAAATGTTTAATTCATGTCGCTTAGTTGGAATTCGCGTAAGCTCGTGTTACGCATCCAATTGCCGATACATCGGTTTTGTTAATCGGCAGAATTAGCCGACGATACTCCTTTGTATGCAAGTTCGAACGGTCCAATTATTTCCACGTAACGTCGCGCTCCTCTGATACGCGTATCCCGCGCATTGCATATCCCGTTATTGCTGATTGAATCGATCGGTTTTAATTTCGCGGTTACTGCGCCAGTACCGTAAATCAGGCCAATTGCGATGCACGTTGTCGGCAATGCCGTGGCACCTTGACCCCCATTAAATCACATGGCTTCTAATTTGACCGTTGCGTTTTTTTTTTCTATACTATGTAGATCGTGAGCGTTATTTTATTAAAGTTATTACTATCTTTGTCGTATCTCGATTGCCATTTTAGGAAAAACATTCATTGTTAGCGAGATTATTTCTCTATTCGAGATACATGTACATTTTGTTAACTTATTGCGCGTCTTGATTACAATCGTTAGCGATTATGAAAAATTAGCATCAAAAGAGCGTTTATTTTTCAAATGTCTTTAATGTCAAGTAACTATATTGTTTGGCGCACATATTCGTTTGTATAAAATGTAATCCTGTTAAACTCATTGCACAATTACGTCCGTTGCAAATATCCGCAACGGTAAACATCAGTTCGAACCGCGCGCGATCGCGAGGGATTAAACCAGTTCAGCGGCTGATGTTTGGCGCCGAATTCGTCGATGATTTCCGCGCGTGTACACGCCGGATTGGCTTACTATTTGCGGCGAATCGGTCGATGCACCGCGCCATTGTCGCCGTTAATTGAAACGATCGTTTGCAGATCCGCGGTCGATTCCTGGTCGGGAGGTTTAGCCCACCTCGGGGCTCTCTTTCTCTCTCTCTCTCTCTCTCTCTCCCAACTTCGCTTCTATAGGTCGCGCACGTGCGTGTCGCGATACGCCAGGTGCACGCGATCAGCATTTTGCATTTTTATCACTGCACTTTGGCGATCGATGATCTCGATGAAGCTCGCACCCCAACACGCTCATCTCCGCTCTCTCGCGGTCGCCATGCAAAAAAAAAAAAGGTATTGAAAAAGCGTGTACAGAGTGAACGACAAGCTGTGTAACAAACATGAACGGAATGTTTGTAGTAACGCTTGAAGAAAAACATATATTCCATATGAACCTTGATACCCTTCGGGTTTATTTATGAAGCAGCTTCATTTACATTTGAATCGAAAATGATTTCGATCATTCGTTATAATAATAAATGATTATTGTTTTCAACTGAATCTGCCATATTTCCAATTTTAGTTTCAATAAATTCATTGTTAAAATATATTTCAACAATTCTGGAATTTACTAGTCGCCTGGCAGAAACTACTGCGCAATCCGCGCAAACAATGCACCAATATTTCCCCGTTTTTACCAATTTATTGAAACGTCCGAATATAGCGTTTCTCCCCGATATTTTCAATCGAATAAATTTCACTGCAAAAAATTCCCGGCGTATTTAGCTACACCTGCGATCTCGAGGAGGATGGCGCGCGCGATGGTAGCTGCAGCCTCTACAGCAATCTCGCCCTTAACTCGCGCCATGCTCGGCGCGAAGCGCTTACTCCGCAAGTACAAATTGACTTTTTTTTTTCTCCCCCTTGCGGGACGTGCCTGATTGCTGAAAATGCAAAATAAACGGTAGCGCGGCTATCCCGCCGACCTCAATCCGGCCCATCCTTTTTTCGAGACACGCGCACGGTAAAACGAGAAATTCTCTTTGTTCGCGGATTCATTCCGCCGGAAACTTAATTTTCTCGCGTTTCCTCTCGAACCTCCGTTGCTCCACCTCGTGTTCGTCGTTATGCCCGAAGAAACAAAGCGTTATCGCCGATAAAGAGGTCAATAGTATTTTTATCGGGGAATCGGCGATAATGTCTTCGTTGAATGGCGGTCCATTAAGCCCGCCCTGTCTGATTCTTGAAAATGCAATAGCGAGCAGCGACCGCCGCACCGCGCCGGCGTGAGGATAAATTAATCGTGACGTTGATCGTTATTTATGAGTATTTCTGCTTGGGAAAACGAGGCAGACGGCTTACTCGTCCGATATGTTTCCGCGCTATGAATATAAGCATTACTTCGTTGACGGTTAAAACGAGTTGGACGTCGTAATATTGTTGATACTTTTCTTTTTAATTTTGTTTTAATACAAGTTCTTAATACTTTGCTCGCAAAAATTCTTCATGAAAATTGACGAGATTCGACGAAATATGGAAACGAGATTTTCGATCAATCTGAATATTTTATCTAATATGCTCTTCATACGAGATTTGAATAACGATATCGAGTATACGATCGTAGTGTTTTGCAATAAGTTCGGTATACACATGATTGATGTTTTCCATTGTGTATGATAGTGTTATTTATTAATATCTCTCTTCTAAGATATTTGTAGCATCAATATAATTAAATTGCTCGTCAATTTTATTTGTGATATTACTGCTTCAGTTTTGTTAAAATGTTTAAGATTGAATGTTAAATTCAGCGTGCAGTTTACAGTATTGGATTTGTATAAATTCATACAGAATTATATTCAGCACTAAAGATCCAGTTTGACTGTTTAACCTTTATTTCTGATTTATCGTGTATTCACTTTAAAGAAAAATACTGTATATTTTATAGTTTTGTTTAAGTTACTTGATTATAAAATAATGTTGTTACATATGTGTTCTTATTTATAAGTTTATATAAACATACACTTTACATACAATATAAATATAATATGTATGCGGAAAGAACGATTTTATTGAAAGAGCTAAAATAATGCTGGATACGGATCTAAAAATTTTGCTGAATTATCAGAGTAATTTTATTGGAAATTTAAACCGGTTGCTAATATCAAAATTTTTTGTAGCATCGCTAATCATTTTTTAGGTTCCAACGTTATTTTGATAGTTTCCAATAAAATTATTTCCGTATCTGAGTAATTTTAGATATTTCAGCAAAATCGGTCTTTCCGCATAACCAAATTTAGACATAGCAGAAAATGATTTTTCGAAATGAAGTAGAATTTGAAATATAGCTGTACTTTCACGCAAGACTAATTTAAGCGGTTCTATTTTCTGACTAGCGCGATATACGGTATTTTTGCGTGAAAAAGAAGGAAGTGGACCGCAAAGAGGTTGAAACAGTTTCAAGTAGAGCGCAAGCGTAAATGGCTGTTGCATTGTGCTTAAGGACGATAAAACACGATGCGTACGGCTATCGTGTGAATTATGTGAGAAAGCAAGGGCTGTGCAAGATGCGCAAATACACAGCCATGCACCAGCGATCATTTGCGGTTTAAATACAGCTGATATCTCCGAAACCGTCCGTTGCGTAGGTAATGGGCAACAACAGTGACACGAAACATACAACTATTGCAATATTGAAGAAAAATATCGGCATGTACAATATTACTCTCATTTGAAAGTTCAACGGTTTTGTTGTCTTTGAAAATGCAACCACCTGCACTGTACCGTATACATTGTTTCTCTACATTTAGCATTTTATTGTATTACCGTGCTGTTTCTCGAAAACGTTTAACAGTACAAAATTATATTTTACAGTAGATATTTATTAAACTTTTCATTATATATATATATAAAATATATATCTAACATGAAAACTTTAATCGAGCAATGAGTCTTTTTATCAAATCATGTTTAATAATTTCAGTTTGTATTACCGTTAATGATGCAACGAACGTCGTCTGTAATCGTTTAATTTTGTATGAAATTCCGCATTTGGCGAAACTCAGAGAGAGTATCTTGCTTGTAATATGCGGAATACATTATGTGAATAAACATTATTCCTCGTTCTCTTATCCATTAAGCGGATTACATCTCTAAGTAGCATAAATTACCTCTGTAAATAAGACAGTCGCCTCAGGTATGCATCGCTCTTGTTTCAGATGTTTTGAACAGCACCGCACGGAAAGATGAAGACTGCGGTCGGTTCGTTCCTTCTTTTGCTCGTCGTCAGCGGCGTTGTCTCCGTCGAATGGAAGCACAGTGCTGTCCTGGATAACAATTTCTTGGTGCTGTGGACGCCGGATGAGAAGGACGTTACATTCGAGATTCAAGTGAAGACCCTCGGCTACGTTGGGCTCGGTTTCACGAAGGACGATGGTCGCGCCGGAGCTGACATGGTCATTGGATGGGTCGATAACAACGGCCAGGTTCACCTTCAGGTGAATATCTTTTTATACAGATGATATCTGATTTCTTGCGGTCACCAGCGCATCTCTTTTGGTCATCTCGCGTGGCTGTATTAAAGAATAGATGTGCGCTCGCGCGCGTCACGATTACGGACAAATATACATTCACGCCTCGAAAAAACGGCGATCTAATCTACATTAAATATAGGTATGTCTAAAAGAACATAGCAAAATTCAGTATAGCATCTCTGAAACGAGAAATCGTACGAAAAAACAAACGTTCCGCGCAGCTTTCCAAGTTTTAACATAGAATATATTAGTTTAATAAAATAACGGAAATTTAATTTCTGTTGAAATAAAGAATTATTTCAAATACGTGAAAAATTTTATTCATAAATGTTACATTTTTAAAAATTAATCCGTTAAAGTACTTAAGTTTTCGTTTATTAAATGACTTTTTAACAAGGTCGCCAATGCGAAATTTACCATTTATTACAATTTATCACTTTAATAGAAATTATCCTACATTCCTATACCGTTGATTTCTGTTTCGGACACACACAGAGAGCTACAAATGGAAATCGTTACCGCATAGAGCATTCACATTAAAGCTCACTGATATTTAAATCAACCACGCCGACGTCCTGCTTGTGTACGCAAAGTGCCCCGGGGGGAGGGAGGGAGGGGGGCGGGGGAAAGAGAGGGGGAGGGGCGAGAGTAATCGAGAATAATTATTTCCGTGCTACTGATCGAGTGGAGTTCCCTCTTTGAATATTGTAAAGTCCGCTCTGGCACGCCAACATCGACGATGGAACGCGTTTAATGGTAGTCATTCGGGAGATAAGTAATGGCTCTCCCGTTTCGATCGGCGCATCGGATAGTTATCAATCATGCCCACTAAAGCCAGCAGCCTGTCATTACGCGTTCTTCTCATTTTGCACGACACTCGGTACATCGAGGACTCGCCCGCGGAGGCGATTGCTTTATGTAATTTTTCCGCTAAAATGTGGTTCCCGCATAACTGCTGCCTATCATATTGATGCTGTTCATCTTCATTGCGACGAACAGATTCCGCGCGACTATTTACATAAATGTGGTCACAGTTCGCATCGGCTGTAATCAAGAGCTCTTACTGATATTTAATATAGTCTCTGTCTCTCCTCTCTCTTCTTTTTTTTTTTAAATAAACATGATACGTCAAATTTAAATACAGAGCACATTCAATCTGTAACCGTCGTATAGAATTACGTGAAAAAAGAAATCGCGGCTTTTTGACGAACGAGAAAATTCAGTGCTACAAATAAGGAAGTTAAATTATCATTTTTTAATTATCTTATACGATGATCTCGCTCGAGATCGAATTGATGTAGATAACGTGGAGGGGGGAAGTCTATCATCTTCGCTGAACTCAATAAAAGAACTCCCGACGCGATCACGTAGCTTCGACTTCGCTATTTAATTCCGCGATAGCCAGGCCGAGATCCGCAAACTTCCCCCGGATATATCATGAGCTGTCCGCACTGCGGTTGGATCCGACGCCGCCGTAATAGTTCGGAGTTAATACCGCGTGCATGTGCGACGTGAGTGCCGGCGGTGATGGTTCTTTGAATAACAAGGCGTCATTCAAAGGGACGCCGCCGACGCGTTCGTGGCACGCCAAAGAGAGAAAAGCTTCTCCGGGCCAGGCGTAATCTAGTTCGCGCGATTTCCACATGAACGGCCACGAGAATTCTGTGCCAAGCCACGGTGCCGCTTATTTTCGGCCGCCGCTTTTTTTTTCTTTTTTTTTGTAAATTTAAAACGTCGTTAGTCGCGCGTTTGGGAACTCGGGTTCCTTCTTCATAGACCGGACGCGACGGGGATTACACGCTATATCCACCCTTTCATCAGCGTTACGCAGCCGTTGACAGTTTCTGGTCCCGGTTCTTTGCTACATGGCCGAGGGGATAGGTGCGTCGCTTCTTCCTCATCTTCCTTTTTTCCGTTCTCTTTCGTGTAGCGGGCGAACTGAATCAGCTGAGAAAGGGGAGAGCGCTCGTCATCGCGTCGCACAGGCTTTTTTTACCGTATTTTTACCGACCACGCCACGAAACATTCATTTCGCTTCGCCATTATTCCCCAGTTATCCCCCTCCCGCATAGATTTATCAGCAGCTACTTTGCGCTTGGCTTTTCGTTGCGTGTTAGGCGTCAAAGGAACACCGCAAATGCTCCCTCTGTCCATTTTTATTTCAGTATGAGCGTGTAATGCCATGGCGTTATTAAATTTCTCAGCGGGATTATAACGCGTTGTACCAGATAGATTTTTATGAAGTCAAAGAATATTGTGATAAAGCTATTCAAGCGAAAATATAAAAGAAACTTACCAGATTCTTACTATTTTTCGTATAATTTTGGTACTAATTATGCAACGTGATACATTAGGTATACTATATAAATAATTAATGCAGAACATACGATTTATTATGCGGTTAATGTAATAAAAACTTGAAACGTAGACGTAATTGTTACAATAATTTATAACATTTACGACGTTTAAATTAGTAAGAAAAGACGCGTAATTTCTCGTTCATCTTCATTTGAAAAATATTTATAAAAGCGAATTCGCTTCTGCAACAAATGGGCTGCTTATATTTATGCGACCGTGATTGGTAGCGTCGGGCACATCGCGTTTACATTATAGAGACCTCCCGACGTTTCTTACAAAATGGAAAGCAGTCGTAACCGGGAGGACGGGATATAGGAAAGCAATCTTCCACGACGAGTATCGCGAGGGTCGACTGAGAGTGGTTAGGTGGGTAACGCATAGATCGGTATCTACGTAGGTATCTTTATGTCAGTGTTTCCCAAATGGTGTTCCCCGGAATGCCAAATAAAATAAAAATGGAAAACTTAATTTATAGTCCCTCGTATCATGAATTTATTTATTTAATTTGTCCGTATTCTTCTTGTAGCTTGCATATGAGTGCCTCTTTAATACCGTTTCCCTTCTACGAAAATTGAATTCGATTGAATCTAGCGAAAGGAAAGATTTTGTAATTCAAATATGCGTTACTATTATTACGCAGAAATGAGATAAAATTTTAAGTCGGCAACATGTCGACAACATATAAGTTTTGCAAGCGAATCGTCGAAATTTATAACTTGGCATTTTAGTATCGTTTCTTTACGACATATGGATTGCGCATAAATACATGGAAAGGACAGTTTTGCTGAAGTATTTAAAAATTTAGCTACACATACACAGACCTGAAAACAATTTTGTGGAATCATTAAAACAACATGGAACGGTAGTGACTAGTTTCAGCATCTTACATAATTCTTTTGATGGTCCGTAAAGGAAATTATTTTCAGACCTATATCTATAACTAGATTTCTAGATGCTTCAGCAAAATCGTTCCTTCCGTGATACGACACACATACATGGATTGATGTGAAAGTCTACGCACGCGAGGAAACGGTAGTTTAGAGAACAGAAAAAATATTGCGGTCTTTCGTTGAAGTCGACCGCAATTACGAGCTCTATGACGTATTCCGAGGAATTCAGTCGCCGTGTAACAAATTGGGAAACACTGCTCCACGTTGGATATGGGATAGATGGAGAGGAGATAGTCAGGCTGCAGATCGCGTCCGTCTCGCGTGTCCGCAATTTTTCCGGCAGAATCGTTGCCCGCTCGTTCCATAATGCATGCCGTGCGCCGCGCAATGCCCTGTACGATGCAGCCGCGTCGCCGGACGTTCTCATACGCTGTGAAAGAGAGGAGAGTCGATAGAGACGGAGGGCGGCGGGCGCAGAAGGGGGGTAGCGGTCGGGCGGGTGAAAAGAGGAGAGAGAGAGGGGGGGGAGGGAGAGAGAGAACGACCGGCGCTCCAATGGGAGCGAGGAGCTTTTTCGTTATGATCATAATCTTAGAACCAGACCAGCCGCGGGCATCCGGACCAGCCGGACGACTGCTACTCCGCTCGATTTCTTACTCGTCTCTCACAGCCGTCCCTCCGGTCGATACACGACTTTAATTCCACCATTTGCGGGGGCGATATATATACGCATCGGAGAGCGACGCCCCGCTGCAATCCGATATGCATGCCCGAGCGTTTGTCCACGCCGGGGACTGCGGCGTGTAACGAGCAGAATCACTCTGATTGCGCATGCCATGTGAATTACATGCGGATGCCAATCGCAGGTTGCTGAGAAATTTCCGAGGTTGCTCGAGTATGTTTCCCTTCTGGCAGAGAGCACGAACGATTTTCCTCCCGCAGTTCAGCTATACTAAAAGTGAAAATAATAAGAAGTTTGAGTGATCGCGGCGCGATCCTGCGAATCGGATATTGAGATCGAAAATGCTCTTTCGGATGGGGATATTCGACGTTTTGTTCGACTCTAGTCGATTGTTTTGCATGCGGTGAATCTCGCTGTAGACGCGCGTCCAACGCTGACTGCTGAATAAATGATGCAACTCGTAATGTGTGTATATTGTATATCGCTGTAGTCGCAGTGCGCTATTCGTGAAATTCGTACGCATAACTGGAATAACGAATGAAAGAGGAGAAGGAGGTGGGAGAGAGAGGGAGAGAGAGCAGGATAGAGCAAATAACAGGATGAATTAATAAAGTCGGCGGCAACAGAGAGATATCGCTAAATCATAGAAGACTCGCGGGATTATATACACGTACATGAGCGAGAGCGCGAAATAAAGCGCGAATTGCGCATTCGGTAATTTCTACGTCAAGTGCGCGCAATCGCGTGCACGCCTCGCTCGCGCTCTCGTTCCGCATAATCATAATCTCCCGTAATACGCCGGCAGATTGCATTTTCAACGAGACCAAATAATTGCGTCCAATTGCGAGGTGTTTAATTCGTTAGGTTCCGCGCGTATTATTTTGCGGCAACGTCGGACGGCGCGGCGCGCGGGCGGGTGGCGCGCGCAATAATCGCAGGCAGCTTTATTAAAATATCTCGCGGGCGCGGTTTTCCCTCGCGGCATATCTTTTGTTGTCGATTTGTATCGTCGCACACTCCGCGCAGAGCGCTTT